GAAATTGGGGTACAATTTGTTGTACTTATCTATGTATCAAAGTTAATTTTTTGTATATAAACTGTTAGATTTATTTTCACACCTCATTAGAGGTAGTTTATATTCAGGAGTCATTGTACTTATACAAACATTTAACATTTTTCAGGTGAGGATTAGGGTGAAAAGTAAATCCATAGAGAGACAAGGGATTAGAGGAATTGAAAATTTATTTTATTGTAGATCTTCAAGAATAAATGTCTTTTGTAATTTTGAGACAAGTATTTAATTATTTTACGAATAATGTAACTCATGTTTAGAGTAGTTAACCTTATGGTTTAATCATTATTTTACATGGGTTTAGTAATAATATTGGTGATGTTTAGTTTATTCTTCTAATATTCATTAGGTCGACGTATTGATTCACTTTATTATTTGTCTTCCACTGTATTTTGCATTTATTATGCACAGAGTTTATTGGTTAAGGCCTTGGTGGCCGGTCCGCGGCCCACCCAACGTGATCCTGGGTGAAGGTGTGACAAGTTTGGTATCAGAGCCTAAGTTTATGAATTATTAGAGGATTAGGTGGAATTTGATTAGTTATGTAAGGTTTAATTGATTTGGTAGAGGGATGTGGAATGATGATATTAGTGCATAGTATTATTGCTTTGGTGACTAAGACAAGTTAGTTTGCATGGTATTTTAAAAAGTATAGATGACTACAAGAAAGAAAGAAAAGGGTGCTACAAATGATAGGGTTGCCACTAACGAGTATGCGTACCTAATGATCCAGAGATCAAGAAGCAAGTGATGGAGGAGGCCCATTACTCTCGTTTCACAGTTCATCCGGGAAGTACGAAGATATATCGAGACCTGAAAGAGATATTTTGATTGAATAATATGGTGGAATAATATTTTGATGACCCCAGTTCTGATTGCACTTTTTGGCTGGCGCTCTCTTTTATATCCTATTTAGTTTATATATGTACTTTTATATTGCACGCTCAAGTGATTTGTCTTGCCTAGGAAATATGTGAATTCACAAGGGCAAATCTTCGCGGGGCTTTGTTTGTTGGAGCTAATCTTCAAAGTGCAAACTTGCAGGGCAATTTTTTCTCCTTGTGTTGATTATTTCTCTATTGTCTTTATATCATCTTTTTAAGTCTTTAAGACATGTATGGAAATTAGTACCGGAGTGGCTATCGGACACGTACTATAATTGGAGCTTGAGTTAGCGGGGTTCCAACAACAAACATATATCCTACAGTTTTTAAATTGTGGCTTTATGTTTGAAACTTATGAGGCTAAACACCTTTGGTGATGGGATAGCTCTAAAAGTACTCAACTTATTGTTTGAGCAAAGTTTTTTGTAATTTCCTCCCAGTTCTCTCCCTAAAAATTATGAATATTTGTATATTCGTAAATGTGCATCTGTCATTTGTTCTATTTTCTCTTGCTATGGAACTTCTTTCTCTACCAGATTTTCAATTTTTGGTCTGCTTGACCACATTTGTTGTAGAAGAACCAACCTTCTGCACTCTAGATATTTCTTCTTTCCCCCCCTCTCTCTCAACCTTCTACACATTTGTTGTCAAAAAGTTTTTTCTCCTGTTATAGGAGTGGACATAATGCATTACTAGCATGATAAATGTCATATGGGAAAGTGAAAGTGATGAAAGATAGAGTTGTCCTTTTCTATTCTTCTGATACCTATATATATATGAATCAAGGGTGAGAGGTAGGGTTAACAATTGGATTGGCCCCTTTTCACAATTCTAGTCGTCTTTCTTTCTCTATAACAACTATCCTAAACTTGACAATGGTAAACTAGTTTACAACTAATAACTATGTTCTTCCGTTTCTTGTTTGGTTTGGCTGGGTCTGGGTGGGGGCACTTGTTTCTTTTTGGGAACTCGATGGCCTTGGACCCCCCCAAGTTTTTTTTTTGGGAAAAGAATAAGACCTATTGATTCCTTGTCTTCAGTTATCCATAGATGCATTGGTAGGGTCACTTCTTTCTTTTTGGGGAACTAGGAAGCATTGTCATGCCTTATTTTTTGGAATAAGAATAAGTTGTGTTTGTCTCCTGTCTTCATTTATTCATATAAGTTGTCTCCAACCTAAGTAAAGACCAGAAACACAATGGATATTTTAGTATTGATTTTTTTTTATAGCCACCCAATGTGAGTGGGAGGTTTGGCAGGACCCCTACCTGTATATATCTAAAAAGAAAAAAGTACAAGAGAGGGAGACAAAGAGCCAAGTCTCCATAAGTACAAGGTGGGAGGAAAAGTCAAAAGTACAAAGTGGGATCAATTTTGGATCAATTTTGGTGTCTTTTGTGATAACGAAGAGTGCTATTGGATGAATAGGTGGAGTGGCTACTACAAACTTGGCGTTCACATTGTCTCCCATAAAGGTCAGGAGGAATGACACTTAGTACGCTAAGTGATCTTCAAAATTTTAATTTGCATCTTGAAAGATTAAAAATTTGCCGATTGCACACTCAATCAAATAAAAATATAGTAATGTTGTCCAAAATCATATGTACGTTGCTTTTTTGACAACTTTTTTTTGAAAACTTCAACTGATTTGCTTCAGAATAGAATTTCAATTGCCCATCAATGAATCATGTATCATATGGTGTAGAAGTTACGATAAGCACCCCCACCCCCACCCCCTCGGCACAAAAGAAGTTTTTCTTTTCATCCATTAAGCCTTTTAATGATGTTAAGTTTGAATTAATTAAATGCTCGCAATTTCATGACATCATATGGTGCTAAAGTTAAAAAAAAACCATTTCCGGATATCATGAATCACAAAAAAAATAGGAAAATGAATTGTGAAAACTCAGATATTAAAAGTAAATTTTCCCTATCCAATGTAAACAAGGCAAATTGATGCTACTTTCTATTGAGGGTCACTTCATACAAGATAGGGATAATGTTGGCATAATTATATTAGTGAGGAAAAAAAAAGATATTCGCAACACCAAGTTCTATTCAGTGTTGAATACAGGAATTCTTTCATAATCTTCCAGCAATTAAAAATAATAAGTTAGAGGTACTCAAGAAAAAAAGCAAAAAATTGAGACTCCACCAATACTTTGAACCTAGTTTCTTTCAGTTGGAATTTTATAAAATGTAGAAATGTTTTAAAACTCTTGGGTGGTGGCCCAACATTTTGATGAATTTCTTCAGGAGCAGTTGGGCACTAAAGTGAAATGAATCCACTGCCAGTTAGGCACCAAAGTAATGCCAATGGCACCCACACTCACTAATCTATACCCACTATTTGATCCGAATCTGATTAGCCGAATATGAATTATTAATTTTTACCTATTATCCAAATCTATTATGTTATATTTAATGGATTCGGATATGAATTTATCAAATTTGATCCGAATTGTATATATACCTTTTATTTTTATATTTTATATCCCGTGTGAGTTTATATACATCGATAACTTTTCATCTGCAACATTTTTTTCCTTTTTTCTTCTTCTTCACTATTTATAACTAAAATTGAGGTTAGCATATTTAATTTATGTTGCTTGTTAAGGCTTCAAATGAGTAAGCATTATAATTTTTTTGTTCTAACGAGTTAAATTTGTTAAAATTTGTGAGATATTTTGTAGGTTGATTTTATTTTGTACACAAACAAATCGGATCGAATTTTTGAACCGGATATCCACAAGTTAATGGATTCGGATATGGATTACAATTTTCAAATCTGTCGGATAATCGGATCGGATCGAATCACGTAAATTATATTCGGATTCGGATATGATAGAATTTAGTCCATATCAAATCCGTTGACAGGCCTACTCTTATTTCCCCTCTTATATATCTCTCTCTTTTACCAATTTGTTATTATTATATATTATGTATTTTTTTAGATTCTTGATATTTTAGGCAACAAGATCAAGACTTGATAATTTATCTCTATCGTATGTGCCCGATGTGAAGAGTGGCTGCTAGCTTGGGATTGTATCTTAAAGATTTCATTGCCAATAATATGTGCACGTAGGGAGGCCACAAGAGCTTTAGGACAACGTTTTATACACCTCTCCAAATCGAAGGTGATCACTTTATTTGCTTTTATCTCAATTCTTTTTCAATTATATATTTATTTAGAAAATGTAGTTTATGTATTTAAGGGGATAATGCAAGAAAATTGATTATAAAATAATATTGTGAGATCTAAACAATATTTTAAGTAGTCTAATGTATAATTTTACTTAATTTTGAGAGAGATCAGAGATTTCTTAGGAGTTTAGCTCTAAAAAATAGTTAATTGCACTAGAGTCCCTCATTTGGTGTGTAAATCAATTTTAGTCCTACCGAATTTTTAGCATAAAAAAAGCTCTTCAGGTTTTTGCAAAATCTTGCATGCGGTCTCTGTATTGGCGTGAATGTTAAGAAATTACTTAGTTACTAGTTTTTATTACCATAGTTATCAAATCATATAACGGAAGGCGTATCATTTTTTTAAAATAGTGTATCATATCGTAAGATACGACATAATTTTAAATAAATAATAAAAAATATATATATACCTTTAAAAAAAAATCATAGACTCATAAAAACATAGCATTTCATTAATACTCCACTAACTATTTAAGTCATCATAGTTCACTAATATTATAATGCAAAGTTTACACCATCATTCACTAATTCAAGCTTCAAACACCCAAGAGAAGGCAGCGCTGGAGAAGGAAGAAGAAGGCAGCGCAGCTGTAGATCCAGATCCAGATGCAACGACTAGTTTGGTTGCTATGATGGCTTGACTACTTCGATGGCTTGGCTACTTTGATGAAGAATAGAGAGAGGAGAGACAATCTACTTCGATGCCTCACCATGCTGCCTCCACCCCCGCCACACATTTTTTCTTTTAATGTTTTTCTGTTTGAGCATTCAAACGGTGTTTGTTTAATGAAAGCACTTTTCTATAAAATAATTTTAAAAAATAATTGTTTAAGAAGTGTTTTTTGAATTTTATAAGAAATTCTGAACAAAACCTAACTACTGTATGCAGTCATTCAAAGCATCCAATATGTCATAACGAACATCCTCATCAGGTTCCTGAAAGCCAAATGCAGTTCAAACAGATCAATATAAGAGCAAAAACTCCACTATTTAAAGTTCTAAAAAAAAATAAGTGAAAAAAAAATATTATTTGACATTATTAAGCCTAAAAAATCAGGTAAGATAGACACAACTGACCACATCTGAAGCTTCGTTTAAAGCACGTATGACCCTATCAGATAACTCCTCGACGTATTGCATAGCGTGATCATAGTCCTCTGGGTCGCTGCTTTCTACAACTTCTCTAGCTGAATTCAGTATCTTTGGCATGGCTGTTGCACAAAGTAAAAAGACAGCATAAGAAAATTGACTAAGATCTACGCACACGCGCGCGCGCTAACAGATAGTAATAATTCGAGTAAATTACAGTTTTACCCCTCTAAACTATTATCCTTATTTTATTTTGTACCCTTAACTATAAAATTTTTCACATTATATCAATTGGAGTGATATGAAATAAAATTGATACTTTAAGGTGTAATATGAGAAATTTAATAGTTAAAGGTAAAAATGAAATAAGAGTAATAGTTCAAGAGGATAAAGTGTAATTTATCCTAATAATTCCAATCGGTCTATCGCACCTGAAGCAGCAGCCATTCTAATTGCATTGGCAGAATAACATTCCGCAAATGGAAGCACAGTTGGATCTTGACCCCATCTCAAAAATGGAATCAGTGTATGAACAACCTAGATGATTTACAATTGTTTAAAAAACCACTGCCATAACAAGCTTAACAAGGAATATTTAAAATTAGACATATCAAAATTTACCGAACCAATCTCGGGAACAAGTAATTTCGTCAACTCATCAACACACAAACACAGCACGCGACAAGGCATAGCCTTTTCCATTTTCTTTTCTCCATAATACCTACGTGTAATACCAACAACAGTGCAATAAAAATTAAAGTTGTTGAATTAAGAAAGTGAGTTTGGTTGGATAACAAGAAACATCACTATTCATGTGTTTGTGTGTGAATATATATATATATAGAGAGAGAGAGAGAGATCACTTTAAAATATTAAAAATATCACTATTATGGAACTATATTTTGTTAGAACTATATTGCAACCAACCAAGGAACATCTTCGTAAACTTGAGCAGCAGCAGCATTAAACACAGGGGACATGAGAATTTCCAGGTAAGGGGAAAAATCCCGCTCTTACAAACATAAATGGTTCAAGGTCCAAATAGCAGTAATTTACATCTTACAAACATAGCCCTAATAGGCAATGGCCATTATCAGCAGGATTGCACACCAGCCAAACATTTCCTGAAGTTAAATCTCCCCTAATACAACACCCGAATAAAGATGAACAAGAACTAGCACACATCAAGCAAGTGGCAACAATTGCAAAGGTAGCTTCCCACATCATACAAAAATACAGTGAATAAAACTTACCTGGATGACACTGGACAATTCAAAAACTTAACTTCAATTGTAGCTTATCAATATTCTGTTGGACTAAAACAGATTTTAGTCATTAAAATTTGATTTTTGGTCAACTTTAAACTTAAATTAAAGTGGGACTCGCTCCTTGCTTCAAGTAAATTTTTGTGCGTTCGTGTTCTACTCCCTGAAGACAATAACGTGGTATATTTTCAATCAATGGGCCTTTGGTCCAATAGTATTTCTTGCCTTGTGAAGGTTTTGCCTTCTTGAGGTCAAGAGTTCAGGTCCCCCTTCCCCCTCCCCTCTCAAAAAAATAAAAATAAAAGTTAAAAAATAAAATGGTATATTTTCTTGCTTAAATCTAGTAAGAAATGAATGAGAAAATAGGCTCCAAAGTTTCCCTTTGATTTATGGAAAGGGTGGGATTATTCCCACCCCATTTAATTTATTATTATCAAACTACAAAGCCCACCCCTTTTATACCCACCACATTAGTAACTAAGTTCACCCTGCGCTACATACACTCCATTAATAGTTAAGCTCACTTATTCTATGTATACCCCTTTAAATAAAGAGGTCATTGTAAGAAAAAAAAAATAAAAGAACGAAACAAGGAAAAAACAGAAAAAAGAAGCCAACCGAAATAAGAAGGAAAAAAAAACTAAGTAAAGATTAAAGGAACAAACAAAACTACGAGATGCAAAACCGAGTATAAATAAAAAAATAAACATCAAGCATAGATACAAAATCAAATAAGGAAAAAAAAAACAAATATTGATGCAGAACTTTAACAAGATAAAAAAAACAAATAATTTGAAAGTATACATATATATACACGCATATAAATTTTAAATAAAACGCTAATTAAATTTGACAGAAATATCAAAACATACCGAAAATAATAAAAATCTATATAACAAACATGAAATCAAACATAGAATTAATTTGAGAAGTAATATTAACTTGTATCTTATTGAAAAAATTCATATTGAAAAGTAATTTTTGTGTGTGCATGCAATGAGATAGAGAATAAAGTTCTAATTATGACAAAATATAAAATATGTTTATTTACTAAAAGGAGTGTGTGTAGTATGAGGTGAACTTAGTTACTAATGATGTGGATATAGAAGGAGTGAACTTAATAGTTTGATAAAGAGAAATTAAATGGGGTGGGAATAGAAATTTGTGGGGGTGGGAATAACCCCACTCTTATGGAAATAAAAGTTGTGCAATGTGGGATTTGACATGAATCCCACATTAGTTGGGAAAAAAATTCTACATGAGCATAAATAGACCAAGTTTGTTCTATGAGATTGGACACCAAGGGGGTACCACAATTTTATAAGCGGAATGAGTGCTACATGCCTTCAGTTTAATCACACAGGTGCGTCGCTCACTTCGCCATGACCCCGCCCGGCCGGACACAGGTGTTGGTTAGACCCAATGTTATCAGAACCGGACCGGTCATCGAACCGGCAAGGGGACCGGATCAATGGTTCACTGGTTCAACTGTTGGGTCAACTGGTCGGACCAGTCATATAATAAAAAAATAAAAATATATATATAATAATTATAAAACTTAATAATTTAGCTAAAAAATATAAAATATGTATAAAATACATAAAATTTGCCATAAAATTAATGAAATTAAGTAACGAAGTGAGGGTTATTGTATTTTAAAGCAAAGTAAAGAGGTTCAAGTAAATTATAAAGAAAAAGAAGGGGTGTCTTTTATTATTTTTCCAAGAATAAGGTTAAAAAAAATCAACTATTTACTGATTTAGGGCAAAAAAATTTATTTATGTAATTTAATTTTTAAATAGGCATTAAACCGTCCGGTTTTTATAAAACTGGCGGTTCACGATTTTTGTTAAAAACCGGCTAGTTTTTCGGTTTTTAGCCGGTTAGCTTCCTTAAGCGGTTCAACTAAGGAACCGGACCGATTAGGGTCCCGGTTCACGGTTGAACCAGTCCGGTCCGGTTCTGATAACACTGGTTAGACCAAACCTTATCTTTTTGAAAAAAATTTGTTTAAAGAATTGAGTGTGAATTTCTTAATCCGAAATATAATTTCGGTACCCGTTGGATTTAAAGTTCACACTGATTCAAAATTAGTGCTCCCTTTAGTAATAAATTTTAGTTATATCTGTTCAAGAGTAAACAGTAACACAAAATGGTATCTTCTGAAACACGACAGAATAAATTGTTTTATTTCCAAACTTCACCTTCAACAAGCGTAGATTTATTTCTAATTTTTTTCTATCCCGATCCCGAATTATGTGTCTTTTCAGGTACTTTGACAGATTATCAAGGTTAGTACAAACATACATAAGAGTTAGGTTAGTCCAGTTCAGTTGATTGTGCAATGAAGGTGAAACATCTGAAGGTGAGTGAACAAGATTAGCCTTCTAGTGTGCCTCCGAAGCTATACTGGGTCTAGCTGATCGACCTTCTATCTAAAGCGTGTTTGTCGTCGTGGCCTTCGGATGATCTCTTTGCTGGCTAGTTTGATCTCATGTGTACCCAGTGCCTAACCTTATTCTCCAAGTCACCGATATTGCCTATGGAATTTCCGCTCCAAAAAGGAGAGTCTCGTCTGGATTGTATCCGTTCGACATGATGACTGTCCGGATCACTCACTATTCTCTCTACACCCAGATTAACTCTATTATGCATCATTGAATTTCGGCATTTAAGGTAGTCTCATATAATCCTATTTTCGGCATTAGCAGTTTGCATTTGAGAATACACAACACAATTTCTAGTTCTCTGGGCGAGTAGATTGGAGTACTACTTCTATTCGCTTGAATATCATTGTATGCTGAGAGACAAACACTTTGATTTCTATAAGCACCAAGTGTGGTGGCAAAATTTGTCGTAAAAACATAGTGTCAAACACTAATCTTGATGGTTAGGTACTATGGAAGACTGGAGGACTCTACGAGCTTGCAAGCGGAACTTTAGGGCATCCTAAAGGGCCTTCAACTCGTCCAAAGTAGAGGGTTAGGACCAGTGATGGTAGAAAAAGATTCCCTCGAGTTATCAAATCTTCTTGTTTTTAAGCCACAAGAAACACACCCCAGCAAAGCACTCATTGCCAAGTGTTTTCAACTAATGGAGACGAACATAATACATATTGTGCATACACGCAGGGAAGGAACACCAGTGTGCTGATTTCCTTGCTAACTTGGGAGTCCAACAAGAAGATGCCATGGTGGTTCTTGAAGATCCCCCACCTCAACTGGGGAGACTGCTGAATACAGATTTAGCTAGTGTTGCATTTACTAGAAAGTCTATTTAGTTTTGGTTTAATTTTCCAATGTACCAAAATAAAAACACTAGTCTTGATTTGAAGAAATTTCAATAACAGTTCCTGATCTGCAAACGAGTTAGTTTATATATTGGTTTAATTACAAATTTATGTGTAATTATTTCGTACATACTTAGAACTGCTTCATGCATACTAGTATAACTATTTCGTTCTTGACTGTTAATATTTATTCTAAGTTGCATGATATAAATACGAGGTTTTAATAAGTAATTTTATTATATTTGGAATACCACAAACAACAAATTCAAGAATGTGATGTAAAAAATAGATCCAGTAACAAAAAGGGAGCAGTAGAAGAAGGAAGGGCTAAATGAACAAATGCTTCCAAAACATTCATGACCCCCACTCAACAATTAACAAACCTCTTAAACATGTGTAGTCGTGACATACATATAATGCTTGCACAATTAAACTACATGATCCCCACTCAACAATTAACAAACCTCTTACACATGTAATATGCAATGTTAAAGTACAAATTCATAAGTTTCACATTCCCTAACAGTTTAAACTTTTAGAATAGATAATTGTTTAATATAGTATCAGAGCAGAAGTCCAGTGTTAAGGTCTCGTCGCCACCAGATCATAATTTTTTTTTCATGTGCTAGACATAAAATCTAGCCTATATATAAATATCATCATATGTAAAAAAATAAATACTTGAGTTACATTCTTCCTAACAACTTAAACTTTTAGAATAGACAATGATTCAAAACAATAAAAATAAATATCATCATCGAGTGATCTCTTCTTTCATAAAAATGGTAGACTATAATTTGCATACGAAGGGCAATTGAATTGTACTTGTCCGTGAGATAGACAACTAGTACTTTTATGAACAAAATTTTATTCCTTCATATTTAGGAAAAATAGCTCAGGAAGTGTTGGACAAAAATTGATTTTTTTTTTTTTTGATAGACTTTGAGCCTATATTAAAGTGGGACTCTCTTATGAGTTTGAATAAATTTTTTTGAGTTCGTGTTCTATGTATTCCGCGAGAAGAATTACGTAATATATTCATTTGTTCAAATTGAGTAAGAGCTCAATGAGAAAATAGACTATAACGTGATACTCTTAGAATGTGGAAATAAAGGTTGGGGCAAAGTGGGATTTGACACTAATTTCACATTGGTTGGGCAAAAATACTTAAGTTGCACTTTGGGTTTCACCTTCCATTATGCAATTGAATCAGTTTTATGTATTACTGTTTTACTCTTAATTGTATGATTTATATAAAAAATATCAATAAGTATTTTGCGTACATGACACATCCTCCTAACAGAAAGAAGGAAAAAGCTTGTCATCTATGTTAAAAGAAAACAACTAAAATGTGGATTTCCTCATAAATGTTTAGAGTCCATTAATTCGTTGAAAAGGTTAGCAAGATTGAGAGTCATGTCCCAAA